CTTTTTAGTGTCCCTTACTTGTTCTTCCTCGTCTCATGGACTCCTGTACGTTGACATTCAGAATCCATTCTTTCACTGTCTTCTCTGCTCTTTGGACTTATACCTATGGTGATCTCATGCAGGGTTTCTATTCCCAACTTCATAGATGGTGTCTCCATTTTGATGTTCACCTTTCAATGAAAATTTAATATGTTCAAAATTGAACTCCCTTCCTGCCCACTCTGAAGCTGCTTCTTCTAGTCTTCCTCATCCTGTTAGAGGATGTTTATTATTCATGTTACTCTGGCTAAAGCTTGGGAGTTATCCTTCATGCCTCTCTTTTTATCTTCCTGCCCCCATGTTTAGAGAATAAACAAATATTGTGGGCTACACTTTTAAAGATATTATACAGAATATGACCATTTTCAATATTGTCATTGTCAACACCTGTGTTTGATTATTAGACCTGTCATAACAAAGTGTCACAAACTGGGTGGTTGTAAACAAGTACTTCTCACTGTTCTGGAAGCTAGAAGTCTGAGGTCAAGGTGTTGGGAGGTCTTGCTTACTCGGAAAGATCTAGGTGAGAATCTTTCCTTGCCTCTTTTAGCATTTGGTGGTTGCTGGTAATTCTTGGTGTTTCTTAGCTGGTAAAAGCACCCATCTCATCTCTGCCTTGATACTCATGTGGCCTTCTCCCTGTGTGCATGTCTCTGTTTCTTCTCTTCCTCTTATGAAGACACCAGCCATTAGATTTAGGGGCCCACCCTACTCCAGTATGACTTCACTTAAGTTACATCTTAACTACATCTGCAAAGATCTTATTTCCAGATAAAGTCACGTTTACAGGTACCAGGAGTTGGGACTTGAGCAAATATTTTGGGGAAATGTAGAAGTGGTAATAGTCATCCAGTGATAACTATCTTTTCCTGGTTGCAAAGTTTATTAGCTTTAAATAGTTTTCTTTATACCTGCTTTGTTGAAAGTGTTTACCATAAGTAAATATTGAATTGTACTTTTTCCCTCCTGGATCTACTGAAGTGATCATGTGATATTATCCTTGAATATTTTATTCAACATAGAACACACAATTCAGCCACCCTAGTCAAAGCTACCATGATTCCTTGCCTGGATTATGGCTACACACCCCTGTTAATCTCCTGCTTTCACTCGTTCTCCTATGTAGACTAAATAGTACAGAATTCACAGTGATTCTTTTACAATAAGTCAGATCACATCACTTCTCTGCTCAGAACTTTCTAGGGTTTCTTTTCTCACTCAGACTAAAAGCAATTCCCTCCCAATGCTCAGCAAGGTCTTGTAGGCTTAGTGCCCTCCCCTCCCTACCTCTCTAGCTTCATCTTCTACTTTCTCCATGGATCACTGTGGTCCAGGCATCCTGGGACCACTGTCGAGGACCACTGTCCTCGATGAACACACTGAAGGGATTTTGCTCTCTCTTTCCTCTCTCTCAAATACTCTTCCCCATAAATCTTACTGTATTAGTCTGTTTTCACGCTGCTGATGAAGACATACCCAAGACTGGGCAATTTACAAAAGACAGGGGTTTAATTAGACTTATAGCTCCACATGGCTGGGGAAGCCTCACAATCATGGCAGAAGGCAAGGAGGAGCAAGTTACATCTTACATGGATGGCAGCAGGCAAAGAGAGAGAGAGCTTGTGCAGAGGAACTCCTCTTTTTAAAACAATCAGATCTCATGAGACTTATTCACTATCACAAGAACAGCATGGGAAAGACTACCCCCTTGATTCAATTATCTCTCATTCAATTATCTACCACAACACATGGGAATTCAAGATGAGATTTGGGTGGGGACACAGCCAAACCAAATCATTTACATTACCTTCTCCATGCCCTTCTTCAGTGAGGCCTTCCCTGACTGACAGGCTGTATGGTGTAGTGCTGAGGTTGAAGGACTTACAACTAAAGGACCTGGGTTCAGATCTTGCCTTGCCATTTACAGCAAACGGTTAGGCAATTTACATAACCTCTCAGTTTATTAAATAAGTTTATGAAATAAACTTGAGTTTATGAAATAACTCTCATCTATGAAATAAGGAAATTAATAGTGGCTTGATCTTTTGGAGTTGCTGGAAAATTGAAATAACACCTGGAAGAGTCTCTCACACGATATAAATACTTAATAAATATTTGTGATTGTTATTAAAGTATGCACCACATCTTCCTCCAGTAATGCCTTATGTCTGCTACTTTATTGGACTCCGTAATATTTGTCCTTATCTAGCAAACCATATGTTCTGCTTGTTTATTTTTTGCCCCCTTCCCACTAAATAATTACCAGGAATATTGCCTTATAAATATTAGACATTTAATAAATATTATTTGAAAAAATGTTAAAATGTCTAGACTCTTTGGTATAATGTAGAAGTGGTAATAATAATCCAGGGATAATTATCTTGTTCTGGTTTCTTGCCAAGTTTACAAGATTTTTAAAGTTTTCTTTATTCTCACTTTGCTAAAAGTGTTTACCATAAATATTGAATTGTACTTTCTTGGATTTACTGAGGTGATCATATGATATTCTCTTTTAATATTTTATTATAATCACTTACATCTGTTATTAATATAGATATAAATTTGCAAATATGGATCAAATCCAACTTGGTTATTATGCATGCTCTTTTTAAATATACTGCTGAGTTCAGTTCCCTAGTGTTTTACGATATTTGCATCTATATTCATGAGTAAGATTGGCTTGTAATTTTTACTTGTAATTCTGCTCTCAGAATGTTTTGGTATCAAGATTATAGAGGAAAATATAAGTTGAACTTGAGAGTACTCTCGCTTTCTTGTTCTCTAAAATAATTTACATAATATAGAAATAGTCTGCCCCTTGAATATTTGAGAAAATTTTCCCATCTGGGCCTGACCATTTTTTTGTGTGTTTAAATTGTAAACTACTTCAACATCTCTAATGGATTCATTTTTGTCTCTTTTATACTGATCAGTTTTTGTCAATTTATATTTAGGAATTTATCTCTAATCTAACTTGTTAAAGTTTATTGACAAAACATTCTTAGTGTTCTTTTTTTTTTTTCATTTTTCTCTTTGGCATCTATACTTTTGTCCCCATATTCAGTTCTAATATTGTTTATGCTGGCTTGCTGTATTTTTGTTTGAAAATATTGATAATGAAATATTTCACAAGAAACCTTGAGGTTTATATGTGATAAAATAAAAATACTTTACTTTTATGATAAAAGTATCTTATTATATTTGTTTATCTCTATATTTATGTGTATTTATCTCTATATAAATTTTTTGGCCTTATTGACCTTTTTAATTGCCTGTCTTTTCCTGTTTCTGAATTTCTGCTCTTATCTTTCATTTCTTCCTTCTATTCCTTTGGCTTAGGGTTTTTCTTGTTTATTTTGTTTTTATCTTGCTTTTGTTTTGTCTTGTTTTTGTATTTTTCTTGCTGTTGGTGCTTAGCTCATAACTTTCAGTCATTTTTCTCATATAATATAAGCATTTAAGTTTATAAACCCTATGTATGCACTGATTTTCCTACACCCCAGGGTTTCTTGTGAAGTATTTTGTCATCTAGTTGTAAACATTTTCTGATTTCTGTATGCTTTGTTTAAGCCATAAATTATTTAGAAGTGATTTCTTTCCACTTTAATTTCCAAGTGCATATTTTCCTTACTTTTTAATCACTGACTTCTTTTACTAATGATGCCGTAGAGGAACTGTAATTGTTATAAAGCCAACTATTTAAAATGTGCTGAATCTTGCTTTGTAACTTAGCATGTGGTCAGTCTTCACAGGGTCTGTGCATTAGTTGCTGTATTAATGTTAGTGTCTTGACTTTTACCCTTGTGCTGTAAGATGTTAACACTGGGAATATAAGTGAAGAATATAAGGGTTTCATTGCACTTTTCTTTCTCATATTTTTAAAAGTCTGAAATTATTTCAAAACAAAAAGTCAAAAAGTTTTAAAAACATGCAAAGTGATTAGCTCAATGCTAAATAATTTCCTCCCTTCTCTTATATCTATAATCCTGTTGTCTTCCTTTCATCACCATCATCAAACCTCAAATGGTGAGGATTATGAATTCTACATTGCACCTTTGATATGGTTTAGCTATGTCCCCACCCGAATCTCATCTTGAATTGTAGCTCCCATAATTCTCATGTGTTGTGGGAGGGACCTGGTGGGAGATAATTGAATCATGGTGGCAGTTTCCCCAATACTGTCCTTGTGGTAGTGAATAAGTCTAATGAGATCTGATGGTTTTATAAGGGGTTTCCTCCTCCATTTGGCTCTGATTCACTCTTTGCCTGCCACCATGTAAGATGTGCCTTTTGCCTTCCACCATGATTGTGATGCCTCCCCAGCTATGTGGATCTGTGAGTCCATTAAAACGTTTTTCTTTATATATTACCCAATCTTGAGTATGTCTTTATCAGCAGTGTGAAAACAGACTACTAATACAACCTTCTAATTACAGCAGAGTGGGGGTTGGGCCCAATATGTGATAAGAGGTTGCTGCCAATGAGATTGCCCTCAGTGATGCCTTTTGTGATCCCTACAAGATGCTTGTCCTGGTTGAATTTTACCACCTCATAGTCAGTTTCTCAGAAGAAGAATGCTTGACCTGGTATTAGCTTTTCTCAGTTATACATCTACTTAATGTTATAAGTATATATATTAATACTCAATATTATACCAATAATATATACTTAATATTGTACTAACAATCTCACAAAATATACTGTACTGTTGGATAAATTCAACTCTAAAGGTAATAATATAACTGATGTCTCCTTCTAAATAGTTTAAAATTAAGTAGTTAGACAGATGCAGATGTGAACAGATCCTTTTTCAGATATGGAAAATATTCACATTTCCAAACTATCGAATCCTAACACAAATTAATTTATCATGTTTCACCTGATTTTAAAAATAACATTTAATTATACAGTGAGAATGCAAAAGGTGGGTGTTGCTAGACAAACTCAGTCAGACAATGAGGCAAAAGGCAATGAAGGTTTTTATTTGTTATCCATATTAGCAGCAACACCAGAAAAATCATTAACCACCCCTCCTAGCATTGAAACTCTGACTCCACTTATCGCTTCTTCTTTTTAAATTACAATGTAAAACAAAATGAACTGCAAAATATATTTTATTTGAACTTACTGAAGTCGAAATCATAGGAACCAGATATCTAAACAAAGTTTAAACTTAAAGTTTAGATTTTAAACATAAAATTTAAACGGTTTTCTTTGTTTTGAAAAGTATATCCTTGAAAAGTATTTTGATATAGATGGGAACATTTTCATAGACTGGCATCTATTTTTCCACCTACTGTTTAATGAAGTAAACTGTTGAATGATGTAAACTGTTAAATGAAGTAAACAGTTAAAACTAATGACATAAAAGACAAGCAAAGCAAAGGAAACATGTTATAAAAGATAAGTATTACAGCATTCTTAAGTATGGTACTTTATAAAATGAAAACTGGGATGATGTCTTCTGAGATATCAACATATTTATAAGGAGTACATGGTATATGACATACTTCAGGATGCCAAGAATTTTAATTAAAACTCAACCTCTATAAAGTGAATATAAAACTAATAAGAGGAATATTTTTAAAGGTTGGGATATGTAAACTACAATAGCAGCAGTTTGAAACAGAAGAGGAAGAAATAAAGGGAAATTACATTACATTAGTATAAATGTATTCAGTAACTTCTGTTGGAGATTATGTTGTTATATATGAATAATTATAGTTATTTTTCAATCAATGCTTTACATGCATACATTGAAATTACCTGATATTAAATGTTTCTGAAATTCATTGTAGGAAGTACACATGAGCATAAACAAATGAGGATATTCTCTCTCTCCTGTGAAAAAATGTGTGGGTAATATATTACATCATAGATAGAAATTGCATACTTGAAATAACCATAAAATACTTAAATAGTACATGGATACTATTTTCAGCCAAGTTGTTTCATATTTAAATTTAAACTTTTAGTTATTTCATGTAACTACCGCAAGATTTCTACAATTTTTATTTTTTACTTTTTGTTATGTTGACCAAAAAGGAGGGAGGGCATTTAACATAAAAATAGAAAATGAATCCTGAGATTTCTCATAAATGTCTTAAGGTCCTAGAGATGTGGGCACTTGTTCCATAGTAAATTATGGACGCCACATTTTACAAAATCCTTACTGCCCCTTTGAATTGTGTCCTTCCTCCAAGATAAGAAGCTATGACTCAATTGTTCAGCATGGAATTATAGTGAAAAGCCTTTCTAGTTCTATCTTTCCCTAAATGGGCTCTGGTTTCTTGTAATTCACATGACACTCTTTGGCTGTGGCTGTCTGTTAAATTTCCTGTTTTGGACTAGTTTCAGCAAACCAAAACAAATAGCTCACAGAAAAGCCAACGGTAACTACTTTTTTTTTTTTTTTTTTTTTTGGTATATCCAGTTAGATTCTTTTTTTTTAGAGGTACACAGAAAGGGAAGAAAATAGTTACAGACATGGTATAAGTAGGTCACAGCAGTTTCAATGCACCAAAAAATGTGACATCTCCATCCAGTGATATTTGTGCATTTTCTCGTGGTATTGCAAGTTGAAGTTCATCTCCTTCTTCCAGTTTTGCAATACCTAGGAAAAAATGATTTACAAGAACTATAAGTGGTTATACAACAGAAAAGAAAAAACCTAAATAAAACTATTTTGTTCTGTAAAAAAAAAAATGTTAACATAGGCATCCACACTTCAGAATATACCAGTTGGCTTCTAAACCATTGCAATTATCTTAGCCTAAAAAAATTTAGAAGAAATAAGCAAAAGGAGTTACAACAGATATGTATGAATTTATCACCTACTCTTTAAAAAATGGAGTTCCCCAAAAGAAGCCCAATATATAACTTTTTAAACAATTAGGTAAATCATGGCACATCCCTTGATAGAATATTAAATGATTAGTGATGATTTTTATTTAATTTTGTTGACAAGCAAAGTTTTCATAATAATGTTAAATAAAAACATGAACGATTACACACACACATATATATACTAGATATTCCTAATATTTTAAACATACATATGAAAAGCATAAATATTAAAAAGTGAAGAAAACACCATTTCTTAACATACCACATTTATTAATATAGTTTTTCTTGAGAGGTCAGACTATGGGTTTAAGCATTATCTGGATTACTTTTCACAACCTCTTGTATTTTGTTTTATTATATAACCATATTTGTCTTCATAATCAAAAACAACAATGAAATTTACTCTTCAAAAATGACCAATAAATCTGTGTGCGACTAATTTACAAGGACAAATGCATCTGTGAATTGGTAATACAAAATACATTCAGGGACTACACTCAATGTATCAAAAGAAAAATGTGAAGGAGAAGAAAGAGGAGGAATTAAGGGGAAGAAAAGAAATAAAGAAACGAACAGTAAAACTGTCATCTGAATTATCAATAATTGTGGCTTACTATTTTTAGAAAAGTTGCATTGTTTCATTAGCATAGTGAAAATGTACCTACATAAACACATGTGTGTTCATGTCTATTCTAACCTAAGGCCCAAAGCATGCAGATTCGCTCAGACAGCAGCCAGGAGGAGTTCATTTATTGAACATTTACTATGTACCAGGCACCCTTCCGGAAAAACCTACAGTAGTGATCAAGGATGACAAAATTTCCGTCCCCCCTGGGTATGCTTTTTTGTAATGGGCAAAGACAGACTACAACAAAAGAAAGTTTTTTAGGACTTATTACAGGTTATGTGTACACTTTCTAGAATTGACGAAACATTTGTGGACTACCTTAAGCAGTAAGAATAAAAGGATTGAGATTCATTTGTTGAACAGACTTGTCATTATCATAGAGATTGGAAATGAGCTAACATTTTGACAAAGATCATAGCTCACAGAGCATTAAGTAATATTAACTCTAAAGATTAGGTGGGTGTGAACAACTATAGAGTCTATTTATCATTTTAACACTAAGTTATTGGCTATTTCAATTCTTCCAGATTACAGCAATCAGGTATAATTTTTCTAATAAACATTTTATTAATACAATAAGTAATAAGATTCAGCTTTAGGTATGTAAGTGGTTCTTTGATATTATGTTGGGTTTCTTAAGTTGGCCATTCACATCTTTTCAGGTTACTATGGAAACATTTTATGTACTTATACTCTAATGTGTGGTTTTAAATGGCTTTAAATAAATTCGCCCTAAAACAGATTAAAATTGCAAGCCTGAAGCTTCCTAGGGGACAGGACTCATATACAACAGTAAGCTACTAGTAATGAAAAATATTTTTAAAGTCAGGTGAATTATTCTTAAAGTAAGACACCTTAAGAAATCTAGCAGACTCCTCTAATAGCAAGTAAGTGTAAGAGGAGCAGATGATTAGAAAAATGTTTTAAAGAGTTATTTGTAAAATTTTTAGTATTAATGAATATAAATAAATAACAGATTGCAGTAGTCTCACCATTTATAAATATTTTGCAACTCCAAACTAGTAGTCAGCACTGGGTGAAGGGAAACATCTCTTTATGCAAATTAGGGAATTCTAATTTTATAAACTTCCTCATCTCCCCACCAATGCTATCTGTGGCTGCAGATCCAGAATGACATCATTTCCATCATTAGAAACTATTTTTCTTAGTTTCTAACTGACTTATTGGGCATTTGTTTGTAAATGCCTTTGAAATACAGTATTTCAAAATGCATAGCCAGTCTCCATTCCTGTGTGTCACACGGTCATTCATAGTAAACATCTGGAACTGAAGCCATTCCTCAGGGTTCTGGATTTTTACAAAATCAACAGAGAAAATAAATGTCTTTAAGGTAAATATTTTTCTTTAAAACCAGCCTGGATTAATTTTAAATCACCCTTGAAAAATAAAATGAAGGAAATGTTGGCAATTACAGCTGAAACAGACCTGAGGTTTACAAGACCTGCCCTGCTCTCCCTCTCACTGTACCTGGGTGCAAAGGTAGGTTTGCTTCTACACTTTCACATTCCTAAGTCACCTGTCTGGTGTCCACTGACACAAGATGTCACCTGTGTGAGAAAGAAGCCATTGTACAACTTTCCCTTACCCTCAAACCTGGCCAGGGGCATTTCTTCCACAGCATGCAAGAAGAGGTTTGGTTGCTCCCATTGTGGAATCAGACTGGCTGGTTTAAACCGAGTCTAAAAATTAGTAGCTGTGCAACCTGGGACAAGTTACCTCTCTGTGTCTAGATCCTTACTCTCTTAAATGGGAAGATTAAATAAGCATGCATATATAAAATGCAGAAAAGAGTGCCTGGCCAGTGGTAATCACTCTATCATTGTCTGATATTATTATTGTTGTTATTAAGGGTTGAAGAAAATATATTTGAATTTTTCTCAGTGTAGAAGTTACTATGTAGAAGTACTATGTACAATGTAGAAGTTGTTATGAAGTTACTACCCTTTCTAAATGTATATAAAGATGGTAAAGTTATTAGTAATAATTCCATCTTTCTCAATTAAAACAGACTAGCTTATCATTCAAGATTTAAAAAACACAATATATTGAGGAATGCCTTTCTGTCTGTTCGTATTTTAGGGCACCATCCTTTCATTTTTGCATTTTGCAGCTCAGATTTTTCATCAAACTCTCTTCATTTCACAATTAGCAGGGTGTGAGAACTATTATTTACCAGCTGAATAGCAGGAATTATTGGGTAGTGTTTCAGGCATATTTTGAATACATCGAAACAAAGTCACCAGACTCAATTCATCCCCAAAGACATGGACTTTTTTCCTCTGAATTAGATGTCCCATGGCGTAGGTCTTATCAGTGTATAAAACCTGAGAAACAAACCAAAAAACTGTCAGAAATGAACACAAAATGGGAGGCTTCAGACAGTAACATCAGAATTAGGGTTTGAACCTACCTGACCATATATAAAAAAGTAACCAGTTTCTTTGACCAATATTTTATTCTCTTTTTCTTCTAGGGCACTTCCCCTTTTAAAGCTGAGAAGCCATGGAACAAATGTGTAAGATCCTGCAATGAAGAGAATCATTTATAAGGAAAGAAACCAAGAAAGGCAGTTTTCACCTCCACCTCCATTTAGTTGTTAAGCTACCTCTGAAACTTAGAAGATAATTCCATCCTAAAAAAAAAAAAAGAAGAAGAAGAAGAAGAAGAAGAAAAGTCACATTACTGCATTGGATTCTTTGCCATCACTTATACATTAACCTGGGTTAATATATCAGATACAAGAACCCGAGAGCTAACTCTTTATATGAATGTCTGGGTTTTCCCTTTATTGGTCCATATTTCGGCTATTTCATAATAAAGGCTGGTCTGGATAAGAGAGTTTGAACAAAAAGTGGACAAAATTTCTCTGAATAACACACTAGTAGAGATTTTCCTTTGATTCTCAGAGAGGAAAGAGTATGTGAAGAGTTTGGCAAAAGCTTTCCGGAGAAAGAAATCTCTGCATTCCTTGGCCCAAATGTGGCAACAGAAGGGAGCCTATGGGAGAAAGAAGAAAGTGACTAAGACACAACCTTTACTAAGAACAGTCAAGGAACTTTTAACAATGATCTATGATATTTGAGTTTCAATGGCTTCTGCTCAGTTCACTGATAATTCTCCTCCATTACCCATCAAAAATCACTTGGGGAGTGACAAGGAGGCTGCTGTGCTCAAGGGTGAGATGAAAGGGACAGAGAGAAGACAGTAGCCATCAGTGAATAGGCACATGGGGGACTACATTGCTGAGCCAGAATCTGTAAGTGCGTTCGGACATCAAAACCCATTAAGAGAGCAGAGACACTCCTTTCCTGTGAATTCATACTTTACATTCCCTGGATTTCTCGTGGATGTGTCATGTGACTATCTGAGGAAAGGGTGAGCCCTAAGGCTAGAGGTTGGGAAATTTGGGGAGTGTAAATTAAGTGATGTAAAATGAATAAAAAGAAGATTAGGGGGACTGTAATATAAGGATAAAATAGTAAAACAGAGCTGTGGAAGTTAGTCTAGAATCACACTTTAAATGTCCCTGTATAATTCGTAATGGTGGACCATACCTGTGTCCAAATTTCATCCTGATCACAGCAAAAATGAAAACAAAATCAATAATAAAATTCAGAGTCCACAACAGACAATAGGCTAGAAGCCAAAGAAGATAACAATTCTTCTAGAATTGAGATTAAAGAGCATTTTTTTCCTGTGGGTTTTCATGAGGGGCACAGGATGATGTGGTAGTTAACAACATGCTCACATTCCGTACATACAACCGCCAAGTGTACGTGCCTTCTTCACATAGTGTTTCCAAGGCAGACCAAGTATATTTAAACTTTTTCCAAATAAAATTCTTTTTTGATCTTATGTTTTAATTGACAGATAAAATTGTACATACTTGTCATGTATAACATGATGTCTTGAAATATGTAGGCATTGTGCAATGACTGAGTCAAGCAAATTAAAATATACGTTACCTCGTATAGTTGTCATTTTTGTGGTGAGAACACAATATCTACTCATTTAGCCTTTTTCAAGAATACATTTCATTAACTGTAGTCACCATGTTGTACAAGAGATCTCTTGAACGTATTCCTCCAGTCTATCTGAAATTTTGTGACCTTTGACCAACATCTTTTCACCCCCACCCCCACCACCATGCCACTAGTCAACACCATTCTACCCTCTACTTCTTTGAATTTGACTTCTTTTAGATTCCACATATACATCAGATCATGTGTTTGTCTTTCTGTGCTCATTTCACTTGTTCTAATGTCCTCCAAGTTCATCCATGTTACTGAAAACAACAAGGTTTCCTTCTTTTTATGCTGAATAGTATTCCACTGTGTATATATCGCACATTTTCCTCATCCGTTCATCTGCAGATGGATACTTAGGTTGATTTAGTATCTTGGCTATTGTGAATAATTCTGCCATAAACATTGAAGTACAGATATCTCATCTATGGTCACACCACTCTGAATGCACTGTATCTTGTCTGACCTCAGGAGCTAAGCAGGGTGGGGCATGGTTAGTCCTTGGACGAGAGACATCTCTTTGACACACTGATTTCATTTTCTTTGGATATATACTTGGTAGTGGGATTGATGGATCATACGGTATTTCATTTTTAATTTTTAAAGAAACTTTTATACTATTTTCCATAATGGCTACACTAATTTATATTCCCAGTCCAAATAAGATTCTTGAGGGAAGAATGTAAAATCAGAACCACATATTTCTGATTGTTTCTAAGGAGTAAGAATCCTAGGTGACAACAAAACAAACTACATTGTAAATTCAAGTTGAAATAAATAACATTTCCTTAGTCAGACCTTTGAGTTCCTATTACCATAGACAGAGGGAGGAAAGATGTCAGGGAGAGTGGGGAGGAAGGATGGAGGATCTATGAGTGGATCAAGAAACTTCCCAGGTCTTCTTCAGCACATGCTCTTGTCAACCTGTGCTTCTTGCTCACTCCCAGGAGCCACATCCATCACTGTTTCTCACCAAGGGTGAATGTGCCCTGATATGGGCAGGTCTCATCATCCTAAGTGGCTTTTCCCAAAGAAGGGAACATTTTCCTTAAAAGAAAAGCCCTCTTGTATAGTAATAGTTAACACAAGATCACCTCAATGACAAATTACAAAGGCAAAATCATCATCGCCTCTTTTATGATATAATTTCAGTGAAAAGATTATAATAAAATAGTTTTTAATTTTGTTTAAATGACATAATGTATGCCAAGCACTTTTTGGAGTGCTGAAAAATGAGAAAGAGTTAATACAGTTACTGCCGATATTGTAAAACACAAACTGACGATTTCACCAAGGCAGTTGCTTTCATAGCTTAATGATATTCATTTGATGCTTGGAGTGAAGAGAGATTTTTAAAAAATAATACACTTGATAGATACTAAATTTTCTGAGCTAAACGGCCCTTTGTGTTTGGTTCCGTCATTTTCCCAGGGCTTAATATCATGACTGACCCACTGTAGACATGCAGCAAATATTTATTAATTAATTAAAATTTAAACATAATATAATTCAAAATAGCAATGTACTGTAAAAATTAATTGCAGTTATTCAATTGTTTTTTTTAAAGCATTTTACTACCAAGTTACTGAAATTCTTGTAATGAAATGCCCTCCAACATAGAGCTAGTATATTCTCTTAAATTGAAGTAAAATACAAATTTCTAAAACCACTTGTTTACATCTGGCTAGAGATATTTGTTTACTAAAATTTTCATAATAATTTAGATTGATTTCTTAGATTTTTTACATTCAATTAATATCTACATAATTAAAGACCCACTTCTTAGTAAATGTCACTGGTGTATTGTCAGCATAGAAAATAAAACAAGTACATAGTAGGTCTCTATTCTTACTGTCTCTTAATATTTTATTTAGGCATTTTATCATCTCTTCTGGCAATAATATTATTAAAGTGATAGAGAACATGTTTACTTATTTTTATTTTTATTTATTGTCTTTATTCCTCCCACATCCACACACACACATATGCACACCCACATACTTACCTGGGCTCTCTGCAAACAGGAGATAAAGACTAAGGTTAACCACAGACAGCCTAGTGAAGGGTTGAAGAAATACCCCGGTTCAGAGGCTGTTAGTAAACACTAAGAGAGATTTTTATTTTTGTTTTTCGACTTCTAATGTTTAACAAAATCTCTGTCAGGATGAAGATTAGCAATAAAATAATCTCTATCAGGCCGAGAAAACAGATAATAGAAGAAAGACTCCTGTGTCCACACAGGACAAGGAATAGAGGCTAGGCCAAAAAAAAAAAAAAAAAAAGTACTTAGGAAAAATTGCTAAACAAGTGAACAACTGCAGTCCACATCAATTAACAACAGAAAATCCTGAGGATGGGAGTAATTTTGAGTTCCAGATGTGCTACATTGTAACATCCAAACTGCCCAGTTTTCAAGAAGAAACTTCAAGGCATACAAAGAAAGAAAATTTTGAACTACTCAGTGGACCAAAAGAATAAAGTCATTATTACAAGATTAATACTCAATAGCGAATCACTTTTCTACCAGTGATCTAACTCTTTTCTACCAGTAATGAACAAGTGGAATTTGAAATTAAAAATACAATGGCATTTAGATGATTACCTCAAAAAAATGAAATACTTAGGAATAATCCAACAAAATATGTAAAAGACTTAAATAACTAAATAAATGGAGAGATACTCCATGTTTATAAATAGGAAGACTTAATATTGTCAAGATGTCAGTTCTTCCTGTAGATTCAATGCAATGGTGTTTTTTTGTTGTTTTTTTGTTTTGTTTTTCTTTTTTTCCGAGTCTTGCTCTGTCACCCAGGCTGGAGACAGGGGCACGATCTTGGCTTACTGCACCTTCCGCCTCCTGGGTTCAAGTGATTCTCCTGCCTCAGCCTCCGGAGAAGCTGGGACTACAGGCACGCGCCACCATGCCCGGCTGGCTAATTTTTGTATTTTTAGTAGAGAGGAGGTTTCACCATATTGGCCAGGCTGGTCTCAAACTCCTGACCTCGTGATCCCGACTTGGCCTCCCAAAGTGCTGGGATTACAGGCATGAGCCACTGTGTCCAGGTGACTCAATGCAATTCTTAATCAAAATCAAAGCAAGTTGAATATCAACAAACTGGGTCTAAAGAATATATGGAGAAGCAAAAGACAGAAATGCCAACATAATACTAAAAGATAAGAACAAAGTGGGAGAACTAACACTACTCTACTTCAAGACTTACTATAAACCTACAGTAATCGAGACAATGTGGTATTATTGAAATAAGAGAAAAACAGATTATCGAAACAATATAAAGAGCCTAAAACTAGACTCACATATAATCAACAGATCATTGACAAAGGGCAAAGGCAATATGATAAAGAAAAGATAGTTTCTTTTAAAAAAATAGCACCAGCACAACTGAACATCCACATGTTAAAAATAAATAAATAAATTGACACACACACATTGATTTTAATAAGATTTGGAATCTTTTTGTCTTTACCCTCCTTGAAGTT